CACGACTGAGAGACTTTCACTTTATAGTAAAATCATACCATTAAATATTGTATTATGCAGCCAAATAAATGAAAAATAAGATTTAGAGCAATTGTTGAGATTTGAACTACTGTAGAATACAAGATACATGTAAGTATGAATAATAGAATATCATGTTTTAATAAACAAAACATTTTAAAACAAATCCTATATATATATATGTGTTTATGTACTGTTGTTGTTCAGTCGCTCAGCCGTGTCTGACTCTTTCTGCAACCCCATGGACTATAACCTATCCAGGCTAGCTCTGTCCCTGGGATTTCCCAGCAAGAATACTGGGGTGCGTGAAAAAGCCAGTGCAAGGACTGAAAAGGAGTGCTTCCTCAGTTCCAGGTCCAAACCACACCCCTGTTCTCAGTTAACTCATGAATATTCCTCCCTCTCTTTCCAATTTCCTCCCTTTTACCTTCACTGTCCTATATACATGGTGACTCAGCTGAAACTGAACTGAAAAGTTGATCTGTGAACTGTTCCTGCTTCTCCACTTGGCAATTGAATGAAATTTGGGCTGTCTTGGTCTCAACATCTGTTTTGTTATTGGCTGTGCAAATCCAAGTGAAAAAAGAACCTCCCTGGCCAAGACAAGGGGTCTCAGCCTGGACTAGGACCTTGGCATATGTTCAGGCCACCAATTTGGAAACAAAAGTGAGTGTATCTGTAGTTGTTGTGAATAGCACAAAATATTGAGAAAATAGTCTTCAAGTTATCAAAAATCGTTACCTGATTTAGCAAATATGTATCTGACATTATTGATGAACAAGTGAAGTTCTGACATGTTTTCATTGTTTCACTTTTGCTCTTGTATAACACTATATCCAACCAGTCTATTCTACAGGAAATAAGTCCTGAATATTCATTGAAAGGACTGATGCTGAAGCTGAAACTCCAATACTTTGGCCACCTGATGCAAAGAAATGACTCATTAGAAAAGACCCTGATGCTGGGAAAGATTGAAAGTGGGAGGAGAAGGTGACGACAGAGGATGAGATGGTTGGATGGCATCACCGACTCANCTCAGTGGACATCAGTTCAGTTCAGTCACTCAGTCAAATCTGACTCTTTGTGACCCCATGGACTGCAGCACATTGAAGATGGAGGGGACTGAAACTTGGACATGAACTTGTGCAAACTCATCCATAGTTCTTCAGGCACTCTATCTATCAGATCTAATCCCTTGAATCTACTTGTCACTTTCACTGTATAATCTCCAGGAGATAGTGAAGGACAGGAAAGCCTGGTGTGCTGCAGTCCATGGGGTCACACAGACACAGCTGAGTGACTGAACAACAGCAATGCATGCATGCTTGTTTTATGTATATACATACTGATTTTTTCAGAAATCTAATTTTCAAACATTTACCAGCACACCAGCGGTTGTATCACTTATCATAAGAAGCATGTGCATTTCAAAATGTATAAACAAAAGAAAAACATTAGATAATTAAATGGCACCTCCTCTGGGAAGCCCTCCCTGGTTCCTTCAGTTTCTCTCCGCTTAGTGTTCCCATAGTGTACTTCAGGTCCTCCTCTGTCAGGAACAGCTGTTACACTGTCTTGCAAAGTGTCTGGTTCCTGTAAATCGTTCCCTGCAAGCGTGTGTGCTCAGTCACTTCAGTCAGGTCTGCCCCTTTGTGATCCTGTGGACTGTAGCCCACCAGGCTCCTCTGTCCATGGGATTCTTCAGGCAAGAATACTGGAGTGGGTTGCCACGAACTCCTCCAGGGGATCTTCCCGACCCAAGAATCGAACCCGAGCCTCCTGCATCTCCTGCATTGCAGGTGGATTCTTAACTCTGAGCCACCAGGGAAGCCCAGATCTTCCCCTCCCAACCTGTAAGTCCCTCTGTATGGGAATGGCATCCAACCTTCTCTCTCACACTGGCCTTGCAGAGTAACTGCTCAGCACGTGAATGAAGCAATCAGTTGGAGAATCAGAATGAGGAAAGGGCACAGGACAAAGGCCCAGACCAGGTTCATGTAGAGAAATGTGGGCGAGGCTTCCTCAAAGGGCTTGACTGGAACGCCAGGAGATCAGCAGCCATGGAACCTCCTAAATGTTTGATTCTGCAGCTGAGCTCTCTTTATGGATTAATTTTACCCACAAGATTCTCAGCTCTTGGATTGTGAATATGCCCAAGGATGTTTGTCACTCTGCTTCTTCTATCTGCTTTTCTTTTTTTAACTCTCATTTTCAGGGCCCAAAAGGTACTCCGTAAATTAAGATGTAATCTCATATTCTTGGCAGGAAAATGTCCTGGCCCTCATAGCATTTTCTTATCTCTTGTTGATGGGTAAACTAAAAAACTCAGCAGGAATGCTCATCTTGCCCTCTGAGAGTCTGGGTGCAGCAGCCAATCTGGATAACCATGACAGGGAGTAGCGATAGGCTGAGAAATATATTCTCATAGTGGAAAAAAAATAAACATCTTTATTTCTCCCAGTGAAGGCATTCCACTCAGCATGGGGATGCAGAATTGAATGGGAACTTTGAGCAAGAGGTTGTCAGACAGATCTAGCCTCAAACTAGCCACTGGCCTCAGGCAGTGTAGTTGATCTTGGCAGACTTCAGCTCCCTCATCTATAAACTTGGGATTGCAGTAGTACTATGCCATTCATTGGTGGTAAGGATTAAATGTGGGCTATGGAATGTAAGCATTTGTGCACATGAAGACTTGTACACCGATGTTCAAAACAGTTTCATGTAATAGTCAAATGATAGAAGCAATCCAAATAGCCACCAACATGTGAATGGATAAACAAATTGTGCTATATTCATACAATGGAATACTACTCAGCAACAGAAAGGAATGAACTCTTGATATACATCACAATTGGAGAAGGAAATGGCAACCCACTCCAGTATTCTTGCCTGGGAAATCCCATGGACAGAGGAGCCTGGTGAGCTACAGTCCATGGGGTTGCAAAGTGTCAGACCCGAATGAAGTGACTTAGCACACACTAGAAAAGTCAAATTTGGTGACAGAAAGCATATGGATGGTTGTGTGGAGACAGAACTAGGGGTCGGGGACAAGAGACTTAGGGAAGGATTAGAAAGGGGCCAAAGGAAACTTATTGGGAGTGATGGATATGCTATTTGTGATAATGGTTTAATGGGTATATTCATATGTCATAATTTATCAAATTGTTCACATGTCAATTATAACTCAGTAAAGCAGTTAAAACTATATGAGATAACAGATGTAAGTAAAGCAATCTTTAGTAAATAAATGGTGGTTTTCACAACGAAGACAATGGTGAAGATAAAGTTGATAGTGCCATTAATGGCATTATTCCCGCAGCTGTGCCTCTTGGGAGGGAATAGAGCCTCTTTCTTACATCCTTGGAACATACACACTCCTTTGTCTTCCTCCATTAATCGCTCTGACCACCGAAGACCCAGAATAATCCTCACTCCCTCAGTTTCCCCAAAAGTCATTTCCTTCTGTGACTGTCGACCTTCACTTTAGCTCAAAACCTTTCTCTTCACTGAACACCAACAGAGAGCCTTGATTTTGAGTTCAAGCAGGCATGGGCTAAAATTGGCTTTCTCACTTCCTGACTTGATCAAGCCTCAGCTTTCTCATCTATAAACTGGGGATGGTAATAACAGACATATAGCTGGCATGCTCAGAGGAGATAGTGTGAGTAAGACTTGAGACTCACAGAGAATAAACATCCAATTACTCTTCCTTCCCTGAGTTCCAAAAAAAAAAAATAAAATTGAGACATGAGACAAGAGAGTGGCAGATGGGAGCTCCCATAGCCCCTCTATCCCAGACAAGCCTAAACTAGAAGATGCCACTGAAGGTGAAAGCAAACCATAGTCTTAATCCTAAACCTCACATTTAAAGACTTATTCACATAGTAATGGCAACACCGAACTCAGTCTCCCAACATGAGGACATGAGAGGGTGTTTATAAATAGGAAAGAATGGAGGGATTTTGCTCTCTGTACACAGCTGACTCCCAGTAGAGAAGAGTGGGTGGTGGTCCTGAGCCCAGAATGTCAAGTTTATTATTCTTAGGTTGTACAGCAGGTGAGTCTCTTCTCTCTCACCCTGCAATAGTGTGGGATGAGCCGAGGGCCAGAGAGAAACCAGGGGAGTTTCCAACAGGAGTAAGCAATGAACATTCTCCCTTTAAAATACTACTTTTGTGCATTATTGCATGAGCAGGACTACCCCTTTCTCAACTATATTATATCATAATGGCTGAGCACACAGAAAACCACAGTAAACACTCTGGTCATAAGTAATGAAATCATCATTTTTGGAAGACAACATGGGGAAAAGGACCTCCTCAGGGCCGCAGCCCTCTCTAAGTCTCCTCTGCCCACATTCCTTCAGGGTCACAGAACTCACCATATCTCAGAGCAATTCACAACCCAGATTGCAACCACTGGCCTAACATCATATAAATATGACCCATGACTTCTGGCTCAGTATTAAATGAGACTGTGTCATCTTGCACATGGAATCCCTTCAAGGAGCTGAAAAAAGTTATCCATATAACCTCTAAGTCTTCTTGGTAGAAGATAACCCATCCTCCATTTCTAAATTCTTTCCCACATATCATGGTTTCACAAAACTCTTGACCCTCCTAATTCTCCTTTAGTGGACACACTCCAAACTGTCAATGACCTTCTTAAAATGTGCCACCTTAAAAGCCACAGATGCAGTTACTCAATCAATCTGATAATCACTAGTAAATGAAATCAGATTCCCTAAATGGCACAGTCTGTGGCCAGAACCACACACCTCCTACAAAAGAATCAAGCCTTTCTTCTTTGCTCCTGGCGACAGCCTCGCTCTGTTAACTCCTGTTGAACTTGTGGTCAACAAAAGCTCTAAGGTATTTATTCACATCAATTGCTGGCAAGTCAGGGTTTCCCGATCTTCTACTTGTGCTGCTGATTTTTTTTTACTTGGAATCCCACTTCTATTTCACCATGTTACAACTCACCTTTTTCAAGAGGCAGCCAATGAGAGGGGATTAGGAGCATGGGAAGTCATCAGGCAGACTTGGGTACAAGCTTTGATTTTTCTGAGCTCCCATTTTCCCATCTATAAAATAGTAATGATGGTGCCAGTGACTTGAGATTGCTGTGAGGACAAAGTGAGACCATGCATGTAAATAGCTCAGCACAACACCTGACACAAATGAGCAAATAAATTAGTTTATTACTATGGTGAATACATAACACTATTATGAGAGGACAAAGTAAGAGGTATGCGACACTAGGTATATTCGTAATTTGAGAGGAATTTATTTTAACTAATTTAGAAATGACCTTGTACTGTGCTTAGTACACTCAGTCATGTCCAACTATTTGTGACCCCTTGGACTGTAGCCCACCAGGCTCCTCTGTCCATGGGATTCTCCAGGCCAGAATACTGGAGTGTGTTGCCATGCTCTTCTCCAGGGGACCTTCCCAACCCAGGGATCAAACCCAGGTCTCCCACATTGCAGGCAGATTCTTTACCATCTGAGCTACCAGGAAAACCCAAGGATACTGGAGTGGGTAGCCTATCCCTTCTCTGGGAGAACTTCCCAACCCAGGAATCAAAGCTGGGTCTCCTGAATTGCAGATGGATTCTTTACCAGCTAAGCTACCAGGGAAGCCCAGAAATGGCCTTAGACCTAGGTTTATAAAACCACTGATATTCATTTTTAGTTGAATATATTCAGCATTTTTAGTTATTCTTAAGGCATTTGATGGGGTGAGAGAATATTAAATACTCCAGAACACTTGTGAATTAAGATGTCTTAGGGAGATATCCCTTTCAAACATCAACCATTGAAAACCAACCTCCCTTCTTTGGAAGCCTCTATCATTTTACCACAATGCTTCACACTCACTGTCAGCAGTTCTACGGTCAAGTGCTTCAAAAGTCGGGGGTGGAAATCCCTTGGGACTACAAATATGGACTCTGCCTCCCTACCCAAACTGTCTCCTACTCATATTTGTGATACCCTTTCCTTTCCAGTGTTAAGACACTTCCTAATTAGTTATTAATACAAGGAACCCGAATAGCAGCCCCGTGGTTGAGCCATTCCCCAAGTTGTGAATCTCTTCCCTCTTCATGTTTCTCTGAACATTTCCGTAAGGCTCAGAATTTTTGTTCAGATTGTTCAGATTTAGCTTGATGGTCAAGCCCCAGTGCTTTCTGGAGTTTAGCCTCTGTAGTGTGTTGATGTATTAGTCAATTTGAATTAGTCACACATTTTGATACCCACACTTTGGCCATGTAACTTTACAGAGCCCACTTACTGTAGGCAGTGTTTTTGGCCTGATTTTTTAATCTTGGCCTCAGCCATGTGACAAGCTTTGGCTAATGGAATGCTAGCAAACACAGTGCAAGCTCTTATATCTTTTTCACTGCCACAGGCACATTTCCCAGCTAGCCCCCAGACAGAGAAAGTCATACCAGTTAAGCTGGCCAAAAACATCCTAAATCAACCAACAACCATTCCACCTCCAGAAGGTGAGCATGGAAAGCCAGGATTACCAGAGCCTGTGAGCCAACCTGCAATTGACCCCAGATACACAGGACCCGTAACACCCCAACCCAGCCCCGTCTCAGCTGAGTCCCACTGAGATCAGCTAAACTCTTCAGATTTTTAGGCTGAAGAAACGCTGTTGCCATATGCCAATGATAATTCGGGATTCTCTGGTGGATCAGAGATAAAGAATCGCCTGCAATGAAGGAGACATGGCTGGATCCCTAGGTCAGGAAAGCTCCTGGAACAGGAAATGGCAATCCACTGTTGCATGGGAAATCCTATGGACAGAGGAGCCTGGCAGGCTACATACAGTCCATGGGGTCACAAAAGAGTGGAACATGATTTACCAACTAAACAACTATGATACTTTATAGTTGTTTGTTACTTAGCATTACTGTGACAGCAGACAAGAAAAATAGTCTCCTCCACACAAACCTATATGAATTGTGCCTGGAAGACTCAAGAAAAAACAAACGTAGGGGAGTCTTGCTCCATTTCTATCAGCTACCTCTCATTTAAGCCTAAGCAGTTAAGAAAGCTTGGTGAGTGACAATCATGACTCCCTCTGATCAGTTGGCATCATGATCAATGCCCAATAACCTCAGCCCCCCAGTGAGTGGAAACTTAATGATTTCCTTGAATATAAAAAACTATCCAACTCCACCAAGAGACACAGACACCAGCCACAAAGCTGACGCTTGGATTGACACCAGGACGCTCAGAATGGACGGCTTATCTATTCGCTGTCACCCAGAACAATTTTATCATCACAAGCCTGCTTCTGAAATATGAAATCTTGAGAGAGTTAAAACTTTCTCTTCAGCTTGGCTCTTTTGTTTCTTTTGCAGACAGCTATTTTAAATGCCCCCAAACTTGTGTGGGAGTGCCAATCGGCCACATTTAATTGGCCAGACTGTGAGCCTCAGAGATGCAACACCCTCCAAAACATTAAACATAGACATGATTGTTACTTCGCTCTGTTATTGTGGCTACAGAATGGCAAACCAATCTGTCGAAACCAAAAAATCCAGTCGCTCAATTATCTGTCAGGCCTACACAACTAAACATCACATAAGCAGCTTTTTTCCTTGCTTAGCTGAGGCGTAGTTTTGATTGAATATGTTGCTTGCTCGGCTTTGTGTATGGCAAGACTCAAGGTCCTCCTAACAGCCTGTCAGCTCCTTAGGAATAGGTTGGTCTTAGAGACATTCATTCATTCACTCATTCATACACTTACCCTGTAAACATTTGCCACATACCTACTCTGTGCCAGAAACTGTTAGGTGCTGGGCATAAGGAAAAGTTAAATAACAATTGGTTAAATAAGCAACTAGTAAGAGATCAAGGCAGGAACAAAAGCTATGTTTCTGACTCTAAAGCAAAGCTTCTCAACAGGGGGCAATTTTGCCCTCCCTGACCAGGGGATATTTGTTAAGATCTGCAGAAATTTTTTGGTAATCATGACTAGTAGCAACTGCTACTGAAACCTAGTGGGTAGAGGCTAGGCACACTGCTAAGTGTCTTATAATGCACACAATAGCCCTGACAAAAAAGGAGTGTTCAGCCCAAACAGTTAATTGTGTGGAAAGATTGGAAAATCCTGCTCCAAAGCCAGGCATTGGACTAATTTCTTCGAAACCAAAGTTTCTGTCTAATCCATCATTGTATCTTCTGCCCCGGCAAGGGCCCAGCAAAGTCTGGTGCCCCTTATATGCTGGCTGCACATGTGTACATAGATGGATGAATGAGTATATGAATCTCATATCTATGGATAGTATCAATAGATGCATATTTTGGGCACTGAATGAGTTGTTTAGATCATCGGAACTTTTAACAGATGGTTTAACTTTCCAACCTAGAATTTAGGTGGTTCCAAGAACAGGAACAACCTGGTAATTTTTGACATGAATTGCACAGGACCTGTGCTCAGTGATGAATGTGGTACTCTAGAAAGCCCCACATCTTGGGCCTTAGCCTTTTTCCTAGTGCCTCCTTTAACTCATGTTTTTACTGAGATGTTCCTTCAAATCTTCCTTGCCTGAAATGAAGAGAATCTGTCTTCTTTTATTTCTTAACCACTGGAAATGAGAGTGAATTTGTCATAGCCAACATTTTGTAGACTCATTTGGCCAATTATTCTACTTTGGGTCTGAACTCATCCCTAGTAATGTACAATCTGTTTTAGATGTTAATTTTTAATGTTGTGATTTTGGCTTGTCCTTCAGATGAGTTGAGTAGAAACACTGATTTATTTCTATCCCTTTCATCAATGCCAGGGAACAGAATAAATTACTCAGGAACAGGTTCTCTTGCCTTTGCTTCTCCCCCATGAGAGACCATGAAGATAAATGTCTAAGGATTGATCCTTGCTCAACAGACTGGCTATGCACCCCAGTTATGAATGAGATACTGAGTCTGTGCTGTGGAATGAGATGTCCCAAGGCCCACAGGACCCTGTCCCTGCCTTTTGGGAAGCCACCGTTAGGAAGCGTTCTGTGGTGCAGGTGAGATGCTGGCAGCTGCTCCTGGTGTCCAAGATGGAAGCTCAGGTAGGATCCTGAAAATTGCTGACATGTCTCCCATTTGGTCATACGATCCTGGGGATAGAGGCCAGAATTTTAACAAGCAAGTTTCTCCTGACAACTTTATATGTGACTCCTCATTCGAAATTCTCCAAGGAGAATCACAAATTGGAGCAAGTGTTTAGAAACCCCTTCCTCTTTAAGATTCAGGTGAAATGTGTGAGTTTTGTGAACACAGGTCTGGGCAGCCAGATTCAGCTATCCAGTTGCCTGCCTGGCCCCCTACGGCTGTGTGTTGTACTTAAATAGTGCCGTCTTTGGAAAGCCACCAAACAACCGTCATCACAACTGCTCTGATGAGCCAGATAGATTTGGCCAAAGTTAAAAGAGGTGAAAAGAAAGATTCCTTTGTTTGTTCAACAAACACCTACTGTGCCAGGCAGGATGCCAGGTATGAACGACATGGCACCAGGCACACATGTTCTCTGCTTTCAAGTTGCTTCAGTCCACTGGACTGAATATATATATATATATTCAGATATATATATATATATCTGAATATATGAATTCCTTGAGATAAGATATTTTGGAAACTAGAGTTGTATTGCCTTGACTACTTTCTATATATCATCAGCACAAATTTAATCATTTTATCAATTCTATGGGATAAGTTTAATTGTTAGTACCATTTCACAGACAATGAAATTGAGATACAAAGAGATAAGGTGACTAGTCCAAGGTCATATAGCTAGGATCTTATCCTAGATCTTTAAAAATATTTCTTCACCTAATTCTTTCTTGATTCTGCCCTTGAGCACAAATGTGCACAATTAAAACTCACTGAAGCATGAACTGTGTATAAACATTCCAAGCATTGGTAGGGAAGTATAATAGAAACATTTCAGAGCAAGTAAGTTTTAAACCAAGAATTCCAGGACAGGTAAAAAGCCAATTCATCATTCACTCATTTAAGGATCCATGGAGCACCTACTGTATTTCCTCCCTAAGTGGAGGACACAGATGAGAAAGACACAGCTTCTTTTTCCATGTGGCTCCTTGTCCAGACATGTAA